CCTTCTTGAAATAGGCCCCAGGTGTAATCTTCAACAACATAAGCCCTTTGGACAGGAGGCACCCATAGACAAACTAGGGACTTTTTGATCTGTAGTCAAATGCTCTAACACTGAGCTATTACACCATCTCACTGTTTAACATCGCAAATCTTTAACAGCTTACCTCTGCTTGTTCAATGCGACGCCAGGGTATAAGTGCGCTTCGGGGTGATTAGGCAATGAGAAATAGCCGAGCAGAAATCAAACACCCAGCTATGCAGCTTTCACCCAGGGAGTTAGGACAGACGATGACCCAACGTACTAGTGATCAAACAAGTAAATTAATTTCGACTGGGATGAAACAGCATGATAACATGTAATTACAAAGGCAGCCATAGGGAAGGAAGGTTACAAGCTCTTCACATCAGTCCAACTTATGTTTGTCAGTAAATGAACCTACTGACCTACAGAACTTTCTCACTGAGTGTGCTGTGAATGCTCACAGTTTGGTTGTGGATACACTGATATAAAAACAATTAAACTATCACTGTGTAAGAAATGAGACTTCATGACCTGCTGCCAAATGTTCAGCCAATAAGTGATACCTTTACTGGCTTCATAAACAACATGAACATATCTTGAATATCTTGAAACACTTGGTAACTTTTAATGAATTTTGGACCTAATTATTTAGATTTGTAACATTAAAATACACATTTGTGAATAGAACTAGATTCTTTTTCAAATTTATCCTGAACTTCCATGAGACCTAAACTCCAGCTGGAGATCACAAGGATCCACCCCACATTCTGTCAGTGGAACATTACATTTTATGTCTGTTGCCACTTTAATATATACACCACATGTGTACTTTACAGTAATAATCTCGTCTCTAGGCTCTGACTCTGCATGGAAAGTATATACAGGCAGAATCAAGAGGTCCATTTACTGGTAAGAGATGTGACTTAAAGGGCTCATTAAATGATGTTTTTACCCTGATGTTGTTGACTAGAGTGTGACTAATAGCCACTCGTCTGTCTAAAACTATGAAAGAGAGAGATGTCTTTGTAAGGGTCTGAGTGGAAGCACAGTGTAAAAGAAATGGCAAGAATACAACTGACAAGTCTGTCACTCAAGTCTCTTCATCAATGTGCTTTGATGTTTATTGTCATGAACCAAATTAGCCTGGCTTATGCAGACAGGCTAGGGGGTTATGGGAGTTAAGTAACCTCAGTCTCCTCAGTCCATCAATGAACACTCTGTTTTACTACATGTTGACTTACATATTTAATTGAAAACTGAAAACTGGTGTGGGAAATGTGAGGCTCAGGTTTCTTCGCAACGTAATATGACATGATCTTCATGATATGAAACCTCATGTGTCTATGGGTGGATACAGAATCTGATTGGCCACCCATAGTGTCACCATAACCAGAGTCAAAATGTGATGCTTGTCAGTACTAAAAATGAAAAGCAATGACAAATTTTTACCTTAAATACAATGAACAGTTTTCTGGTGCTTTATAATATTGGTCCGATTATTTTAAATTAATTTTGGGGGAACTACTGTGCACTAGCGATGTCCCCGGCCAGGAGTAAATAAGGAGCACAGCCAAAGCTAGCTAAAGAAAATACTACACATGTCTAATTTTTATGCAAAATAAATAACTGGATTCTTAATAATGTCTGATTTATTATTTCATAGAACTAGGGGTTCTATTTACTTTTACATGTATTTCAAATGTGCCACTCCTCTCTGAGTCTGTGCCCCAGCCTAGCCACCCCCACCCAAAATTTTCTAGATCCACCCATGCATGTGTCATTATATACAGTTTATACCACATGTATGATAGTGTATGTATATGTATAGGTAGTCTTTCTAATGACACACATCTTTATGCACTATAATAAAATACAGTTTTATGTATTCCTAGTGTATGCATAATGAGCAGGATGGCTGGAGGTCCCGATATACGCACTAAGTGTTGATAAAGTTGTGCCCAGAGGAGGTGTTTTTATGGGATATAATAGGATAATAAAGCACAGTTAGTTCTGAACTAAGTTTTTACCTTTTTATCCTCACAGTCAAAGAACCTTTCAGTAACCAACAGGCTCTAGTTTGTCTCTTGTACTTTGTCCCCTTGATGTGAATATTTCAGTGATCTGATTCATCTTAGCTGTGGCTAATAAAAGAGACAGAGTTCATATTATAGCGTCAGCCAGAATCCACCAGCTACATTATTAAATCTGGTCTCTGTGAGGAAGCCAGCACATCTTTACATGTCGACCATAGTTTAATGAAAATTTTAACATAATAAGAAATATTAACAATCTTTCTAATGCTGCACTGAAGACAAACAAGATCATAACTGTAATTTGGCAGAGTATTTACAGCAAGTGCCCCTAAAAAGAGACCTTTATGACAGCACTAGGAGCTACTGCAATTTTGGCTATACTGTAGTTTTCTTAACAGCTTCTCATGTTAGCAGTGATACTGTGGTAAATGAGCAATTATACACTCAAGGTCATCCTATACTGTGGGATTCTGACACCCAAATTTGAACTAAGGACCGTTGGAGCTGCAGTTAAGTGCTCTAGCCCTGAGCTATACCCCCTTGGGCAAGTAACAAATGGGAGTTGTTTCATTTTATGTCAAAACAAAAGTAATAAGTCATTTCTACCGATGTGGTGGCTGAGTCTGCAAAGATGGCCTCAACTATGGCTTAAACAATGCTTACACACAGATTGAACATAATTGGGATCATAGATAGCCACATAGGGAAAAGCCTTTAGTCTGGTTAACTGTGAATTCATTCCTCCTTAGTACTTATATGTCTTCACACGGCCAGCAAAACTTTAATTTAACACTAGATGATTTTTTTTTCTCTCAGACGTTTTTCTATAATCATCAACAACAGCATCAACACCATCTGCACATCTATTGCAGTTGTCTGTGGCTGAAAATAAAACACTATATGAATTACTTTATAAAACTTATCGCATCAGAAGGAGATGAGGATGTCAAATAATTCAAAGTTACTAATCTCTTGTCTAAAAAAAAAATACATTTCACTACTTATCACCTTCACATTTAGTGACAACTGCACATAAAGACATTGGGCACTGAGAGACATGATATGAATTTGAAAAGGATTTATACATGATAGATCTGTGAAATTTGGTGCTAGAAATTGGTCAGCTTAAGGAGAGAGATAAGAAAAGAGGCTGAGATAACTAATTTGAGCAACTGCTGTGTGGATTTGTATAAAATCAAATGAACATCTATTGATCGTAGCGTACATGAGAGGGCGTAAGGGAAGGAGCAGAATGATGGCGTGAGGAGGGTGTGCAGAAGCTGAAAGTGATGGTGTTGTGACCATATGTCTGCAAGTAGAAACTATGGCATATGTAGCACTAGAATGGCCCGCTTCGGCTGATTAATTGGATCTTTTCCAGCTTTTATTCACATTTTATTTGTTCAGTTTCTCATGACTTTTCTAACAAATGTTATTAGTTTTTTCAGAGTTGGCAGCTCGTTGTTCTCTTCTCAGAGCCCACATTCATAACATACAGCATGTTGGGCTTCTATTTTTTGTTATAGTGTATAGTTTGACCCACCAGACTTGTTACGAAGCTCATTACCAATGGTGCAAACAATGGTGTAAATATAGCCCTATTAACTGATTTATGTAGCAATTGCTGAAAATCTTTTAGGTTCTCTCCCTCGATACAGATGGAGAGAGAGAACCGAGTGAGGAATAATAAGTGGATTCAGGTTGGCAGGGTGCGATTTATTTTCCCCGGAAGGGCACAGAAACTAAAATAGAAAAAAAAAAAAGAGCTGAGAGGGCGATGCGGACCAGTGGGGAATCGGATCCGGCCCTGAGTAGAAATTAGGGGAACTGCTTGTCATCAGGCTCGGAGGGCTGACTGGCAGCGAAGGCAGGAGGAAGAGCACAGGACCTGGGAGGAAGAGAAAAGAGAGCAGAGTCAGTAGCAGACTGGGAGACGTGGTTCACTGTCTCCAGTGCTGGAGACTCAGGCGCCGGAGGATGGTGGTTTCCGCCGACGATCTGGGCTCCGGTGCTTTGCTGGGGTTTCCGCCTCGGCGAAGTGGCCTCCTGCCGGTATGGTATGGCGATGGAGCGGTGGCGTGCGTGCCCCTGTTGGTCTCTGGTGCCAGGATTCCACGCTGCGTGATCCACACAGTAGAAGGCGAGGAGTAGAGCATGCAACAGGTAAAAGATCAGTCTTACTAGTCCCGGACGTAGTATGTGATGAAGCCGCTGAAGGATCTCCTCCGAACTGCAGTATTGGCTAAACAGAAAGGAACACGGCCTGGGGAG